CTAATCCCTGCAATAAAAAGATCCAATCTTCTGGTTTAAATAACCCTGCGATCCGTAAGGTGGATTTCATATTTCCTATGGAATCCCACGCCTTATGGCTCATTAAATACCTGTAATCTATTTCATTACATAACAGTGGCATTAAAGATGTGATTTGGGTTTAAAGGTCCTTTGGGTTTCTGGTTGTCTGGATGCTTGATCTTATCTCTCACTAAAGTTTGGCTCTTTGCACTTTTTGATCTGAAATGAGAAACATCAGCAAATAAGTAGCAAAACATCCTCAAGATGTGTTTTTCAAAAACATTCGACCTCTATAGAGACACTATTCATCATCTATCTGCCTGTATTTGTTCTTTTCCAGTTTTAACAATGGCTTTTTATTTATTTATTTATTTAATTTAGGATGAACAATCAGTTTAATTCAAATTCAAAGAATAACACTGAAAACACGCTCACACCTATTTATGTTCACACGAAGGAGCTCATCAGGTGTGAACAGACATTTTCATTAAAATGATAAGTCAGTTTTATCATCAAGTACAAATAAGTAACTGTCACACAATCAGAGTACGACATTTACAAGTATGACTGTGCCGACGCCAGTTTCTCTGGTACCAAATATTTTAACGTGGTCGGAGAGTCGCGGATCGGGCTGGATGCCAGCAGGCAGGAGAGACGAGCGGCTCTGCTGATCCTCCACCCTAATCCTCTCTAATAAACCCTGCTGCCTGTCGACGGTGAGCAGTCAGTGTTAAATACGTTGAGACACTTACGAACACATGTCTGAGTAGTTGTGCTTACTGTCATTTCAGGTAGTAATTAGTCCAAAAAAATATCTTAGTTTAGTTTCATACCAGCATGTTGGTTAATATAATAATACATTTTATTCAGAACATCCACCTCTAGTATTGCAATAAAATAATATTAACAATAATAACAGAAAAATGGAGGACAAATGTAAGAAAGAAATAATTACGTGAATGTAAATAAAGGGTTTACAAATTTGGGAGGGCATTAATATGAACAATAATTTTAATTGTAATATTAAGTCATTAACTGCCAGTGACGACTAAAGTCGACATTTGCATCTTTTTATTGTGTGGGCGTCGGACGAGCCCCCGCACCGTGAGAACAAACATCCCTGCTCTAAAGCCGATCTTCATCCGCGTACGTCACACGTCACGTGATCAGGAAGCAGAACATCCATGTGTTAGGAGATCGTTTTGGGCCGCTTGCTTCCCACACCAAACCTTCCGTCAGGAATCTTGGCGTGACCTTTGACCCAGCTCTCACCCTTGATTCTCATGTCAGTTCTCTTGTTCGCTCTTCCTTCTTCCATCTCAGGAACATTGCTAAGCTGAGTCCCATTCTGTCCCGCTCTGAACTTCAGAGCGTTCTCCACACCTTCATCTCCTCACGCTGAGACTACTGTAACTCTTACTGTATTGCTTACATTATATCACAGTACATGATAAGACAATCACTTTTACGGGTTTCTGAAAAACCAAACATAAATTCTGAAAGAGGAAAACTCCGGAAAGATACTTTAAGTTAATAATAACAGAGTCTTACTTTTTTATTCAGATATCTTATTTTTAAACTTTGCTTTTATTTTAGCTAAATTCTGTGACTCATTTCCAGCTTTCCGTCTCTGGCTGGTGAAAGAAAAACTCAAACATGACATGAATGGAAACTGTGATCTGGAGTTAGTGCTCCAGGATCAAAGCGTCTGCCTTTATCAGTAGTTGCAGCTGCATCGGTTCAGCGAGCGGCAGCAGTGTTTCATTGTGATTAGTCAAACTTCAGAGTGCGGAAAAGTAAAGCATACTTTTGTTGCAGAACAGCTCATTTTGTGCACATTTATGATGGTTTCATTTTGAAACTAAATGTAAATCAGCCTGAATATATATGGCTTTTAAACACTCACCAGGATGTTGATAATGTTTGGTGTGTTTTGCTTGCCAGAGCCACCGGCCAGCAGAAGTCTGCAGCTGGCAGAAATTGAGCAGCGAGTTAGGCCGGAGTGACAGCTTCATGCCACCACACTGAGAGCCCGTGGAGCTTAAACTGGGTTATGAGCCTCAAAGAAGATCTTTTGCAGGCGAGGTGGAGGGGCAGAGCCGAGAGCGCAGCTTCCCCTCTCACGTATTCTTGTTAAATTTACTGCATGACTTTGCCCAGACAGTATCGATATTCCACGGAGTAAACAGGTCTTTCGGGCATTCATCATCCGCTTGGCCGCACTGCAGAGCAAAGTCCTGCTTTTGATTGAGGGGATAAGGTGATAGAAAACGGTTAAAAGGAAGGCCGGGCAGCGACACCCGCCATGATGGACAGGAATTTGTTTGGAACATTTTTTTTTTTTTTACCTGAAGGTATAAAATAGATTAGGTGACAGTGCAGAGAGAAAAGAAAATAAATCTCCAGCTTTGCCCGAGAAGGGCATAAAAAATTAGTTGGACCAGATTTAGGGGGGATTGCTGTGGTGACAAGCAGAAAGAGCCTGAGGGAAGATCAGCGACATCCTATTTTTCATCTCCTGAACCAAAAATCCAAACGTCTTTCCATTTTCAATCAATTTCTTGTTTAAAAAGAATTTCATTGAGATTTCAACACAAATAGTGAATTTTATTGTGGTAGAATTGATGCATCCTGTCGTAGGAGAAGGAATTTTCCACGCTGAATACATGCTACATGCTGCGCTTGGAATGATGTCACTTGTGTCCTTGGTGAGGAAATAAAGCGCCTCTTCCACCGGAGCCGAACACGTTGCCGTTAGTTACCGTAGGATTCTACTGCACACACTGCACACTTCTTTCCAGAATGACAGCCATGTTCTCAAAACTCCTACAGGCACATGTATGGCTTAACGTTTTCAGTGAAGAAGCTGATTTGACAGAAAGTAAAACTAACATTATATTCAGGTCTGCGTCATCGCGTCTAAAATAAACAGCTTGTTTTTCTGCATGGCCTCTTTCTGCTGTTCCCACTGGGCCCTTTAAGCATTTCCACTGTCAGTCCTTTTATCTCATGAATAGGTAATGATCCTAGAGCCACGGGATATTTTTATGTTCATTTTAAACTTACAACTTTACATCCACTGATTGAGAAACCTAATTTACATCATTTACCTTTATCTTTTTCCAAGCTTACAAATAACAGTGTTTTTGCAGCTTATGGGCTTGCCTTTTATGATACAGAAACCACGCTTTGAGATTTAATAATGATCTGTCATTAAGTACAAATACATTAGAAAGCTAATTGAATTTTTTTTAATTCATTATTTTGAAACTCTAGTTTTCAGTGGCTCAGCTGACCTCTGGTGTACCTCAGGGATGAGTCCTCAGTCCTTTTGTTTTCTCTATTCAGAAGTTTCATCTTGATTAGCTGATTTACAAGGACAGCAGTAGCTCTGGAGGAGGAGCGGGTTGTCCAGTAATCGTAAGGTTGCAGGTTCGACCAGGTCGCTCTGACCAGAGAATGCTGCTGTTGTGTCCTTGGGCAAGAAACGTAACCTGCCTTGCCTGCTGGTGGTGGTCGGATGGACCGGTGGCGCCAGTGTTTGGCAGCCTCGCCTCTATCAGTGCGCCCTAGGGCAGCTGTGGCTACATCTTAGCTAATCCCCACCAGTGTGTGAATGTGTGTGTGAATGGGTGAATGGCTGATTGTGTTGTTGGGGGGTTATATCACCCCAAGAAGGTGCTATACAAATACAGATCATTTACCATTTTACCATTTAAAGCCATTAAGCAAACATAATTGTTCGTATGCAGATGACACAAAACTGTCCATGCCTTTAGATGCCACATTTATTCTTTTTCCTACATCCTTTGTGGCAATAAAATGCAGTTTTCAAGATGTGTTCTGATAATGATAAGTCAGTCATCCCATTGGATTCTCCAAATGTTACCAATGTTGGTGGTTCCAGTCTTGAGTCTATCAAGTCTTATCTCCCCATTTTGTTGGGAATCAAGAGGGGATATTTAGATTTCTAACTACAACTGTGATGCTCAAAGTTAAATATGGGTTATTCTATTCTCCAATAAAATAATAATAATAATAAATAAATAAATAAATAAACAACAAGAAAAAGAAAGTAATAATTAAGATTAAAGGATAAGACTGGTGGGCGTGGCCAGAAACAGCTCATTCTGGAGGGTTATGAATCAGTCACTAATAAAACTGCTGAAATCGCTATTAGAGAGGAACATTATGCAAAGAGCTTCATGAACATGTCTTGTGAAGACAAATGACTATTATGACTTGTTTAAAAGTCACCTATAATGTTAGATTAACTATTAAGAACTGGAGCCGTTCAAAGACGTTTCAAACTTGACAAAAAAAAACCTGCTTCCTCTAAATGGTTCAGAGAACATAATAAACTTTTGTTCCAGAAGCCACTTCAGAGATAACTCTGCAAAGAGATTAAATACTAACAAATTAAAACAGTTTGTTGTTTAGAAATCATCATCAAATGTCAAGGATGGTTCTGACTGCTGATTCTGCATCGCCAACAAAAGTTTAAGACAACCGAAGCTGAATCATTTCTGACTCATGGTTACAACAAGGTCGTGTTGAATATTTTCTCTTTTTGTCGGGATCATTTAAAATCACGAACGGAAGATGACATTCTGCATTTGCCAAGCTTTCAAACAGAGGTGTCGCTGAGTTATTAGGCCAGTTTAGAGTCAATACTTCAAAGGTGTCCAAAGTTTAGGTGATTTTAAAGATGGCAGCAAGATTCCTGAAGATTACAGATGCCTATCTAATAGATCTAGCTTCCAGTTAGTTTTAGGAATGAACACATCAAATGAAGTACTTTCTATTTATTGCCTCTAGATGGTTTCATGTTTTATGAAATTTGTAATTCCTTTAAGTAAATTGAGCAGAAAATAAGCCGATTTCCATCCATTTTAAAGCTGATCGAGCCAGAAAATCCGTTTTTGAGAACATCTGAAACAGTTTGCCTCTCCGACTAAAGAAAAGAAATAAGCACTCACGTGGGATTTTGTTCAGCTCATTCATGAACTTGTTCTTCAGCTTGGAGAAGGCTTCGTCCTTCTCGCCCGTGCCCGCTCCAGCCATGCTGGTGGTGTTGGAGCCAGCCGTGGAGGAGGAGGCAGTGGTGGGCGCGGGGGCCGCCGCCGCCAGCGCTTCCCTTCGACTCTCAGTCATTGTGGCGGAGATGGGCAGCCAGGCAGTTGCTGCATGAGAAGACAGAGGTAGAACAAAGTTAGTTGTGCTTTTTCAGCCTCTGTGACGGATTCGTATCACAGGCAGAGAGCTGGTCTTATCTGATGAGTGAGTGAGGCAGAGCGTGTGAGCAGCTGCTGGCTCAGCCTGAGCAAACATCAGCTGAGGTCCAGAGTGATCTGGCCGGGACTCTGAATTCAAAACAAAGCTGCTCACTCCTCCTAAACTCAATATTAACACCACAGAGCAGTAACAAACAATTAGTTATTACCGTCATACAACACAAACCGTAAATCTCAGGTCTGGCTTCATTATTATTATCAGCTACAAGACGTTGGAGCCGGTCGTGTTGCAGGGCAACACGTAAAACGTTCTGTACACACCAGGTGTATTTACATTACAGTCAGGGCTGGCTGCAAAGGAAACAACACCACTCCTGCTGTAACTACTGTGTTTTTAGATGTTTAAGTGTTAATGATCAAATTTGTTGTGGAACGCCGAATTCACATTCGTTATGCCAACACACCCGTCAGCAGGTGAATGAAACATGTCAGCTCTTCTTGCTCCTTTCGCCACAATCTAAACATCTACAGATGCTCAGCTAGAGGGCAGATTAACAGGGTCTTCTCATTTTAGTCAGATTACATTCAGGAAGTTTCAAAAGGAACCAACACACATGTTCTTAATGTGGTTATTTTACTTCATTGTCCCGTAAAAGTAAATATTGTTGTGTTACAACTAAATTCAGTCACAGCCACCCATAAAACCTTCCAGGAACCACCCATAGGAACCCCGTTTTGGTCCAAACATAAGTGTCCACCAATCTAGTTTTAATGGGACGGTGTTCACTTGGAACAGGATGTTGTAGAATGCTTTGGTGGCGCCTAACTCCATGTTTTTGTTTTATGATCATGGGATTATTCTCACTAGATGTTATTTAATATTCTGGGGATCAGACCGCCAAAACCTCCACCCTGGTCTGCCACCTGGTCCAAAATGCAGCGGATGTTCCTGCTGCAGATGATATAGCTGGTTCGGGTTGGGCCCAGCTGGGCCCCATGCACAGAAACCTGGCCAACAAGGGCTCACACACCAGCCCCGACCCTAGGTCAGCTCAGGGGTGACCCATGCTTTCTATAACCTTTCAGGCTCAGACCAGTTTGTCATGAGAGACCCTACCAGTGGGTATAAAGCTCCCCAGGACCAAACAGCTCTAAACATTACAGCGGTTAAACTCCTTCATTATGCCGAGGCAATGTTTCGGTGAAGCAGGAGGTGCCGTGTGGACCCATGGAACACTGTAAGGATTGCTAGCGAACACTTTGGGACACCCCACGGGGGGAGCTGGTGGGGAGGGGATGGTGGGGAGAAGATGGTTTAAACCTAATTTTTACTTCTCCGTCAGCTCCACAAGGGAGAGACACGCACGCATGGACGGAGACCATTTGCACTCATACTTCTCCGTCTCCTGGGGAGTGTTGCAAAGCAATTCCCCGCCAGGACAGCAGAGGGCGTAGTGCTGTTCTGTGATATCCCGTCATGTATCCGGTCCAAGATAGAGTGTTTATAGTGTGATTTTTGTATTTAAGAGACTTTTCAATGTGGAAAAATTTGTCCCTTACCCTCCTCCACCTCTTCATGTGCTTGCCACCCTTAAAACCACATTTACCATCATTTCCCATCCACAAATAAAACACTCTTCACTTCTCCAGTCACAGGCAAATAAAACATTCCTGTTTTTAGAGTTTTTCCCACGAGAGATTCTTCGAGCTGCTCCGTGTTTGCCGCTAGATATCCTCGGCTCTCTTTATGTTTTTGAGGGTGCAATGGTGGTGCTGTAGATGACGGCGTGTTCTGACCAATCACAAGCTTGCATTCTCTGTCTTGACGGACAAATGTTTAGAAAAGAGATCTCTACTCCGTCCGTCCTTGCGAGCCTATCGGAGAGCCCTCGAAAGGACAGATCATGGCGTTGTGTGCGTTCGTTCCGACGCAGACAGAGGAGTATAAATTAGGCTTTAGGCTGAGGCCGCTACCCAGAAGACGCAGATAAACAAACGACAACGAATGAATTTATTGTTTTTTTTTTTTACATTTACTGCAATTTTTGTAACTAACATTTTATAGTAACAGAAATCCATCCATCATTTTCACCTCTTCATCAATAGCAGGGTCGGAAGGAGCTGGTATCTAACTCTAGCAGTCATCAGGTGGGAGACCCTTGGACACGTGTCCAGCCCATCACAGGGACACACTGAGACAATCAGTCATGCGCGCACTCATACATGGGGCAATTTAGAGTCACCAACTCCCCTCTCCTGCATGGTTTGGTCTTGTACCTGGAGAAAACATTCACACGCATGGAGAGAGAACATGCTAACTCCATAGAGAAAGGTCACATATGTGGGATTTCATTCTGCAGCCTTCTTGCTGCAAAGCAACAATGCTACCAACTAGGGATGAGCCGGATACTCGTTTCAGACGAGTATCCGGTACGGATAAAGCATTTTTGACGAGTACGAGCATGAAACGAGTAAAACTCGTAAATATCTTTTATCGTACTGAAGGAAAATCCTCATTGGGGAACTGACTGTCTTCACGCTCTGTGATTGGCCAGTAAAATAGCGAGCCCGCCCCTCCCTACACACAAAACTAACGTATTGATGTAAACCACACCCACTTCTGGTTAAACTACACCCACTTCCGGGTTAGGCCACGCCCACTCTGAGTACAGTCACAGATGCAGATAATTTAGATGGTTGAACAGATACAGATACAGCGTCCGGTCCATCCACGCACGCACGCACGCACGCACGCACGCACGCACACACACACACACACACACACACACACACACACACACACACACACACACACACACACACACACACACACACACACACACACACACACACACACACACACACACACACAGTAACGGATCTCTCTGTGCTTGCTTCACTGTTCACGTTTCTTCAGTACTCCCTATGTTTTCTTCAGTTTGCTTCTTTTTAAAGTAACTTTAAAGTTATTTAAAGTTACTTTTTTCGTAACGTACGTGGTGAATTTGACAAGACAGAGCTGAAAACGTCTCGTGCTGCGTCACTCACTGCCTCCGATCCAGTCGGGATTTTTTTGCCCTCTCTCTCTCTCTCCTCTTCCTCAGGATCCACTCCCTCTTTCCTATTCACTCTCTCTCTTTCTTTACATTTTTCAATCACAATTGTCTATTTTTTGCTCATTTACAATATATTTTAATCATTTTCTAAATTCTTTTTTCTATTTTACATGTTTTGTTTTTGTGAAGCGCCTCGTGATTTTTATCTTGAGAGGCCTATAGAAAAGATCTTTTCTTCTCTCTCTTAATTCATGCACTTAAATATTAATGTTCTGATTTAATAGAAAAACTTGTTCTGTAATAGTTCCTTTACTATTGTGATCAAAAACATTTAATCTCAACTTTGAGGCTGCTCTGTAAATAGTTTTCAAATAAACAATACACATAGCAACTTCTGATCAGACTTAAAATAACGCATTGATGTAAACCACACCCACTTCTGGTTAAACCACACCCACTTCCGGTTAAACTACACCCATTTCCGGGTTAGACCACGCCCACTCCGAGTACAGTCACAGATGCAGATAATTTAGATGGTTGAACAGATACAGATACAGATAGTGGTGTACTCGCTCATCCCTACTACCAACTGTACCACCATGCAGCCAGGAAGCAATAAATGAAATTGAGAGAAATTTCAGAAATGTGTCTCATCAAAGGCAGCAAGTCATTCGGATTCACCTCACACGTTCCCAAACGTTTAAGTTTTCATAGTTGAACTAGGCAGTCGTTTCAAACTCCAGCGCAACATTTCCACTGCAGATAGGAACTATTTACGTACTCTTGTTGTGCGGGTTGTAATTTGCTCTGTCACCATAGCAATTCAAGAGGATAATGGCTTGCTAAAGAAAACCAACGCATGGTGAAGATTGATGGTCTAATTTTCCTTCGTTGCTGCAGTCTGTGCTCACTGAACTCATGTACTCTCCATTCATTTCATTGTCGCGTATAAAAGCATCACACCGGCTGCGATTCAAAGGCAACTAAAGGTTTCTCTGAAAAAATCTAAATGTAAGCTCCAGAATTGCTTTAAATTATGTTTGATTCCCAACTTCAAAGGGATGAGAACAACATGCTACTGTTCCCTCCAATGCAATCTAAAGAAAAACACCTTAATGTGAAAAAATAGGTTCAAATAGGCAGTGATTTATTTTAAACTAAACTACTGAAGATGTACACTGTGTTTCATTCTAATTTCCTTTTTCCAGCAACAAAAAGTGCAATTTTAAATAGAAAATTGTCACTTAGTTTGTTTATATGAGAACTTCACAAAATAATTTCAGTTGATTTATTTCTTAAATGCGTCATATTGGTGAAGTCAGCACCATGGACAGCGCTTGCTTGATCTCAACATCAAACAAACTGATTTATAGAAGAAAAATAACAAATAAAGCAATGAAGTGATCAAAAGCTTAATTATATCAAGCAAATGAATAAAAAGGCAACAAATACTTTCCCAGAATAGTTACTGTGGTGCAAATTTAAAACAATCCATGAATTATTCCAGTTTTTAGCAGCTAAATTAGAACTTATCTGAAAAGTGAAGAAATTGTACAATAAAAATGAAAAAGCACATGGAAATCACACTAAAGGTTGGCACTGAATGTGACTGCCAGCAGAAATGGTGCCAACACGAGGTGGTGATCACAATCACTGCGGTGGCTTGTCAGCTCGGAGAGAAAGCTTAAAACCACAGGTCTCTCCAGCTGTGAATTCAGCACCGGGCTAACACTCCACCGGCAGCAGCTTTCACCATCATCAACAGATATTTCTAAGACGAGTCACACTGAGAGCAAGTGGAAGAAAAAGAACAATGTGCCAAATAAAAGAAAGCCTGTGATCAAAGAATAAAGATGATTCATCAAAGGCAATTCAGCTTCAGGTAAAGGACGG